AGTGAGGGATCTCTTGGAGCGGACCAACCAGAAACCGATTGTGCAACAAATAAGCAAGAAAAAATGGAGGTGGATTGGCCATACTCTGAGAAAACTATCAAGTGAGTGACATCACACGCCAGTCCATCGCTCGAATGGAACCCTAACGGGAAGTCGTCTAAGGGTGACTTGGAGGATGTGATGTGAAGAGGAGATGAAAGTATGTGGGCAGAGGTGGAGTCAGGTGAAAATACTGGCAGAGAACCAAAGGCAGTGGGGACGTGCGCCCTATGTTGGTCTAGAAAATTAAAGAAAACTATAATAATAATACTAAATATAAACTCTGACCAAAAATTCTTATCATGTAGAATCTCTTCAAATATGTAGAAACTGCTCAAGGGAATTACTAGTGAAACGTAAGTAGAAAATGATCTTTTTTCATTTGATACCAGTTGCCGTAACAAGTCCTGCATATTTCGTACAGTAAATGTTATGATTCATGATGTTGCAAATGAAAAGAATGATCGCCTTCCTTGTTTCGATGCAAATGATATCCTTAAATGGCTATAGTCACTGAAAGCTTCCCAACCACTAAGCTGGGATGGTGTGAACGCCTTCGTCCTCAGAAAATATATGAAGATTTAATGTCTCGGGAAGACTAAAGAATTTTTCCGCCGCCTGAATCGTCACTTGGGTTATGTCTTAAGAAAATATTACCCTCCATTAACCTTGAACCTTCATTGAAGGTTCCAAAACATTTTGCTGATAAACATAGTAGATTTACTTCAGATGCTACTGTTATCTTACAGCATCGTGTTGTCTCTAGTTTACACAAAGGTGACAGATAGTTTCGATATGCTTTCTTAGATTATACAACTGTCTGTTACCTTGTACTCTTTTGTTCAACAAGCTGGCTGTGATACTGGAGTGATAAATGTTAATGCTCTTATTTTTATGATAGAGGGCAGTATACTTCACGTAAAGGAAATGCTTCCACTCCTTTGCCTACTGTAGCTGGTGTTCCTCAAGTTGTTGCCGTTTCTCACATAACTTGCCCCACATTCTGATGAAGCCATTTTTATCAGTTACAGCAATGTTCTGACCGCTTTCAAATCACACTATTCCAAAATAAATCGCTTTTTGTTAAAAACTAGTCAATCGTCTTTATCGGATATATTTAAGGTAAATTCCTGAAAATGTCAGATTTTTAATTTCACTTACAGACACGTGCATGATTTACATGAAGTGATATGTTATCATCATTATGGCATTACAGAAAACACTGAAGTTGAAACTAATTCCAATTTTAGATACCTTGGATTGTGTTATTCCTCTAATTTATCCCGGTCTTTCCACATAATGCTAATTTCTAGGAAGATATTCAGTTAAACCTTCAATGTAAGGAAGTCAAAACAATCTGGTATCACTTAGCCTCTGCTTTCACAGTCTATCAAATCTTGTATACTACCTATTCTTCTTTATTGCTTCCCCTTAATATTTCCTGAGTTACTGAGAAAAACTTTGATACTCCACGAGGGACACTAAAAGCTGTAAGTAAGGAGGGTGAGGTGTGTTACTAAACCAACTAATTAATATCGTTGTAGGTGGGGAACTAAATTCATCCAAGAGACTGCCAAATATCATCTTGTCGGACTCTGAACGTCTTCTTTATACACAACTCTCTCCTTGTATTTTACCAGACATGACCAAAAGCATTTATGAAAGACTTTATGCTTTGATAACTAAGTATAAAAGACATAACGATACCTGTAGGGGACTTAATAGCGAGCTCGGTAACCGTACAAAATATCAGAATAAAAACCCCCGCTTATGAAATAATATTGCAACAGTATATTTTAAAAAATACAGTTAACAAGTTGTATAAATGAATGGTTAATTGCTGACACAGTTAAATTCGAGCTGCTGTAAATTATTAATATGATTCACAGTAACGTTCACTGCCGGGGTCATGTCTACTGGTAGAAGTTGCGCACCGGTTGTGGAATGGTCTCCGGACGTAGATGAGGAGTTTCCACAAAATTCAAAGCATACAACACGGTTAGTAGTGAGGCAAGTAGACAGTATGGACCAGTGAGAAGACGAAGCGACAGGTAGCACTATGTGTTTTAGTTTGCACTCAATGAATTGTTTTAAACAAAAATTATGTACAATGCTTCCATTTTTAACGTCTAACAAATAAGTTCACATTTATATTATCCCAGACTTCACAAACCTTAATTGGCATGCATTTTATGCGATGAGAAAAGGGTCAAGTACAAAACAGCCAACTTACTACCAAATAGTAAGTAGACGTCTGTTTTTATACTTTCTTGCATCACTACACTGTTTTTGTGGATTCCACTTAATTTTATTTTCGCATTCGCAATCTCATTACCAGTGTAGATACCCTGTTGGTCATATCTCCCCCAATACCGTGTCATTTAAAAAGAAAGTTGGATGCACTATTGTAACATATGTTGAAAAATCCAGAATGGATCAAATCTATCTTTTGGAATATGGCCATTATTCTTAGCCCATATACTGATACAGAGTGTTTACGTTGGCATTCCCTGATACAAAACTTAAACAGTTATTCACCTATCCTACAAAAAATGGTCATTACCTCATTTGAATATTTAGAACGGGTGAATCGATGAAATTAACAAGGCTTAATTCAAGGTCATGTTTGCAGCCTTTTTCCTCAGGCAATTGAGAAAAAGAAGACTGAAAAGTGTAATGGACACTTTGAAAGTATAATAGCACTGAAGAAAGTTATTTGATTATATCTGATCAAAATGCAGGTAAAACTAAGCTTCCGAAATAACCCTGGTACATTCCTAAAGGCTTTTTAACTTTATTTTTCCTTCACGTTCCCCAGTGGAACATAAGGCTTCAAGCTAGTGGCTTGAAGTTTCTGTAGCAGTGTTTACTTTACAAGATGCGGTTTCTAGCCTCATGCCCAACTTTTCCTTTTCACCAACATTATTTCTGGCTTAGTGAGGTAAAGGAGTGCGTCGGCCGAGGATCAAACCCTGGTCCATGTGCATGGTCGGCGAGCGACCTAACTCCTATTCAACCAACGCACGCTTTTTGACTTAAAAAGACGAAATAAAGGGTGAGACATTATTCCTGGGTGTTTTGTTAAGCCTCAGAGATCATGGCAAGCCTAGCAGGAAGTCGCGAAGATAGCTGACGTCTGAAACAGACTTCTCAAACCACGTTATTCACTGTACAGCTTAATAATGGCGACACACTTCGAATCAGGAACACAAGATTTCAGTCCATGTTTCTGTACTTGACGAGAAAAACATCCTGAGAGTTGAAAGTTCTTTCACATTTTCTGTTGCATAACATGCTCTGTCGTTCATTCCACTTCATTTTCACGCCATCATGGCTTTTAAAAGTAAGAAATTGTTGGAATATCTGAAGTTTGCGGGAAACTGCAATTTTGGTAAAAAATTTGTTTGAAATGCTTGTTAGTTTTATTAGACGTATGCCAACAACAACAGCTGGTCTCTTCAACCGTTTTATTGTAGAATCACAGCGTTTTGAAGTGAGAGAAATTAGGCAGCTTTGCAATGCTTAAAGTATTAATTCACAGTTAACTGAGTAAGCCTTTGTTTTGACTATAATACAACATTTTCGTTATGTTAGACGCCAGAATAATGTAAGTTTACTAGAATACAATTCAATCTACTTGTCAATAGGCTAGTTATTTTGTTTGTTACTCTACTAGATTGACAGTAATCTTCATTGGAAAGTCATTTTACCTGAATACTCGTATATCTATTAAGAGTTTACTGATGGTAAATTCGCCAATCATCCCTCAAAGATATGTCTTGAAGATAGAGGCAAAGAAGATAACCCACAGATCACTATCATACCTTCCACTTATCTAGATAACATTATTTCACCTGCAGATAGCAGCAATGAAGATGTTGGAGATAACTAGTCAAGATAGGCAAAAAAAAACACGGAACTTCAGTTATGTGAAGTCAGTGTGGAAATTTACTGCACTCAGCGTAGGAAACAAGATTTTGATTATAAATTATTAATTATTATTATTATAAATTCAGCTATAACTGTTTTTATTTCTCTTTTATTTCAAAATGTTAACGAGCCGTAATCAACATTTTCGAACTCTGTCATTCTAAAATTACCTCTAATATGACTAAAGCTTATCAAATCCATTTGTAGGTTAGAATCACAGCTGGCAATTGAGACATATTCACATTTTCTGAGATGACTGTTTTCTTTCAGTATCCAATGAAACCATGATCGTATAAAATCACAGCGTTTTGGTTATGAACAATAACGCTGATTTATTTAAGTGGAATAATTGATGTCCTTCCCTGTAAATCTAAACCTTCATGGCTTTAGAACACGTTGGCTGGCAAAATATTTCTGAATAATCTTGAGTCTGTCTTTATTTGCTTTCAGGAACAACACTGGCAGGTATTAGCCCGAAGGATAAACACTTCTATACTTGATTTCTTATTTTGGAGACGTTTGTGCTTATGTCAACTGTTGGGTTATTTACATAATTTAACAACAGAGTGTATCCTACCCAGAAATTCAGAAGTATTAAACCTAATCTTCCGCGGACTGATGAAAGAAACTACTGAGTGGAATGTTTTTTTTTTTTAAAATGCCGAAATTAACCAACGCTAGACTGCATAAAAGTGGTTTGTATAATGCCGAACTAAAGTACAGAGGTATTTGACTTGCCTATACACAGAGCAATTAATTTTCCAACAAAGGTGAGTTGACGGAACTCATGTTGTTGGCCATAAATAATCTTACAGACTGTACACAGTTAAGCCGAAATATTTCACTGACTGTATTAGTTTTACACGCTATTAGGATAGATTGATAATTTCATACGGTTATGCATTTATCGCAGGTTTACTCCCAGTCAAATAACCCAAATTTAAAGTAATGCGACTGAGATTCCTAATTTGTGAATCGATATTTGTTGGATTCGACTACTGTAACAGAAAACAATTAAACAGAAGAATAAATTTCACTGTCTACATAAGATTGTTTATTAAGAAAAATAGTTAAACATAGTCATCTTCGAGTTTAACAACGTGATTAATGCAACATAAATCCCAAAAGCAATCATTATTTATTTATCTTATCTTGTCATTGGTATACACACATTTCAGATGAAAGTTGAATTTTTCTTATTCAGTAATGCATTCAAGTGCCTTTAAGAATTCATCTAAAGTGATTTTTCCGTCTTTATTCGAGTCCAGAAGACACATTACTTCCTGTAAATATAAAAATGAAATATAATTTTATTATTTATTTAAAAATTTCTGATGAGGATAATTGAAATTAAAAAAACAAATAGATAGATCATGCTTTTTAAAATTAGCGCTCGTCTTGCGGAAATTAGATTCCTTGGTTTCATATTCAAATATCTCGTATATGAAACACATTGTCACTCCCTACTATTAAGACAGGGAGCTATAACCCAATGCAGGAACACTAGCATTCTCACGTGATGTTCAAATAAGTACAGTAATGCAGGTTAATACAAGATGAGTTAACCTTGGAGCGTCAGTGGTCCAGTGGTACAACTTCCAGGGACCTACCCCCAACAGATACACTAATTAGAACTCGATGAGCATTTAGTAAGCCTGATAAAGACAGAAGGTTGGGTGTGAGACTAGTGACCCCGAACCGTAGAAACATCATGGCTAAACGAAACTTCAGGCATCAAGTTTGACGTCCTATGTTCCACTTGGATCGTAAAGAAATGAAAAAACCAGACCTTATATTCAGTCCATAGTCACTCATACTACACTTTGGGTCCTGTTGCTTCCGTTCATATTTCTTCTAATTATACAAAACGTTCTTAATTTCATATATTAAAACTGTACAGTCTAATCTTGATGAGGATTACTGAATTCTAACTTAAGGACTTAGCAACTTTCACCCTATGGAAATGGGATTTAATCCGGTATTATGAAGCAGTACACAAGCTCAAAGTTTGTCGCACTCTAAAATTCATCACTATTTCCCTGAATAACAAAGAAAGTAAACATTCGTTCACTCTCTATAATCGCTCATTTGTTTTTTCCTACAGGGATAGTAGTTGGACCATGATCTGGATACTGACACCGGGTTCAGGGTGACCAGGACATGGAATGACCCCGAGTGGCAGCTTATCACTGCACCTCGGTGGGCTGGAACTTGCAATGGACTCTAATTGGATGAGCTTGGATGTGCAATTTTTGTCAGTGAGGAGGGTTTCTAGCCCTGCCTATGAGACAGAATTATGACGGCCTGCTTAAATGTCTAAACTATCCATCAGCATTTCTTAAAACTGGTGCATGAATTTAATTAGCATTTAGGAAAAGTCTGTGCAATTCTTCAAGAAAATAAGGGAAATAAAAGTACATAATCGATTATGTGTTCCAGAGTCCAGATAAAAAACTGTTTCACTATCTTACAGCAAATAAATTTGCTTAATGCTCATATAAAAACTTTTAATTAAACACACTTCTATTATTCCATCTGAAAAACCACAGCTTTTCAAACCGGTTCTCAATTCTTCATAACAAACATGACCATCATTATTTGTGTCCAAAGCGTTAAAAACTTCCACAAATATTCTCGAGTCGCCGGTGAGCTTGGATCTTATCCGGAGAAAAGAATTGACAGTAAAGAGAGAGAGAGAAAATAACAATATTATTTTCAAATATACTTTTCAAATATTAGAAAAACACAAACAAGGTCTTTCAACAGATTTAAGCAATTTGAAATGGCAATATCCTAGTGGATGGAGGTAAAAGGCTGTAAATATTGGGCAATTATAGTCGTCAAAAATTTACTCGCCTTCAGTTGATCCAGATTCTTGAAATTGTAATTGAATCACAATGAGGTTAAGAAACAGTGACTGTCATCCATAGACTAATTTACACTACACTGGCTGGATCATGTACAATAGCTACTTCACAATCTTAAACGCAGTAGACTGTTTGTATACTAATACTAAGTCTAACATGTCTAAAGCCTTGCGCAAATGAATGATAACAACGCTGATTAACAAGAGGTAGAAAGCGTTAACGCATCAATCTGCAGAAGTGAATTGTAGGGGACTTTGAGTAATACGTGGCAATGAAGCCAAGGACCAGAAGATTCAAAGATTAAGTTTTGCTAGTATAAACTGAATGCTACTTCCTAGATGGAGAATACATGTTACTGACTGGATAAAAGAGATGGTATCCAGTGTGGTGAACATACAGACTAAACGTAACTGCAGCGAAGTCACACATTCTAGAAAAGGTTCAAAGGAAGGCAACAAGTATGGTTCACGGCATGGCTAGCTTATTATACGAGGAAAGACTAGACAGTTTAAATCTCTTCTCTTTGTCATACAATAGGCAAAGAGGAGATTTAATCACAATGTTTAAAATTTTAAATAATGACTACGGACCTGACCTATTCTCTCTTTTCCTTCCCACCAGGTCGGAACACCTTAGAGGACATAGCAGGAGAGTTCAAAAGCCAAGAAGAAATCATATTGATGTTGAGTGAGTACTGGTTCTCACACCGAGTCATAAACTCTTGGAACCGACTCCTAGAAGGAGTAGTGTCTGCAACCTCAATTGATTTGTTCAAGAAGAGTTTAGACAACCGCAGAAATTTACTAGAAAAGGATTGACTTAGGCTCCAAGCCTTCTATCCTCAACCAATAAATCTGAATCTGAAAATCTGAAATCATAACTGATATTCAATATCTTCGCTGAATAACACTTCTTCAATTTTACTTAGTCAACCGAACGTCTAACGAAGGAGTCTCTACTTTTTCGAGGTAATACCGCGAGTGAGTGAACTGATTTCATGGACAGTAAAAACTAGGATAGATTTCGAATATAATTACTCATATCAGATATTATTTTCAATAGAATCACCTGACATAACACTAGAACGAACAAAACGTCGACTTACGAATCGATGGCATCACTGTGTTTCGAGCCACTCATTGTTAAGTTTCTCTCAATAAAAGTGTTATCAACCCAGGTTAACTTTTCTAAATGAGTACATGAAATCATTGTGTTAACCAATCACAACGCTTAAAGTTTGAATGATTCTCATTGGTTGTATTGTATGTCATAAATAAATTCTTGTTATAACATGAAATTAATACGAATATATGTATATAAAAGTAAAGTAATTCAATAGTTGTATGTGAAAAGCGTATTTATTTAGACTGACGTCAACAATCTTCTCACAAAACATGAATGTGAAAGTGTTATTTTTTTCTAACAGAACCAATAATATAGTTAAAAAAATGTCTTTTAGAATTGTAGATTGAATCAACTTTTGCCATTGCAAAATAAAGTACTAGTGTTTTTAAGTGTATAGCTTATGTGATAATTTCTAACAGAATATCTTGATAACTGCTCACGTTATTCGGTGGTTTGAGATTTTCAACGAATAGAAACCTCTAAACCATAAAGATGCAGTGAAACATATTTCATTAATTGAATTTTAGATTTTCCCGTCGATTGATTGAACCGAAGTGCTCGGTCCCAGGTTGACATGACGGCTTCTTGTGCAGAATGCTTCGAGGATGTCTGGGCATGTAACTATAATTTAATCTGTGGATGGTGACTGACAGTGGAATCCAGCCAGGGTGCACATTTTGTCCTATTTAGGACTCGTTGCCTGGATGTACCTGCAATCCCCAGGAGACGAGTCCTGAATATGACGAAATGCGCATCCTGGATTCCACTGCTAGTCACCATCAACTAATTAGACATATGCTTACTCACTTTTACACTGTACAGCTTTCTCTTAATTCACAAGCCTTCCTAGGAAAATAGCTGTTTAGTAGTTGGTGTTTTAAACAGGTATGACTCTAAAAAGTGGGATTTTTGACGAAACATTTCGTATTTAAATGAGTCAGTTGTAGATTTCGTAGTCAACTCAGCGATTTCAGCAATTTATGAGAAAGAAAAACATGTCACACTAAACTCAGGAAGTACGCAGAATTATTGGGAAGTACACAAAATGAACTGCACTCATCTGGAAAAAATATGAGGATTAAAATGTTTGTCTGTGAATCTAGCTGTTGTGATTATTGGGGCAGAGATACACACAGAAAGTGGAATTTAGGTGCTAGTTATCATGAAGTCAACCATTGTTTTAAAGAATTCAAATTAAATGAAGAAATGTTGCTTTTTCTTACACCTTTTCAACAGAGAAATACGTAATGTGCCAAAGTGTATGAGGATGAGGATTCAACATTTAGGACCATATGAGATGATTCACAGCTGGAGTTTGACAAATTAAAGGACATGACTATTTTAGCTTCTGTTATTTAGCCTTCAAGATCATGTTTATCACAGGAAGACTAAGCCTTTGTGGTAGTATGTAATTCTATATTTATTTGCTTATTAGATATGGCACACAGTGAAATAGTATTATTTACTGGATGACGACGTTTCGAACACAAGTGATTCTTCATAATCATATTAGTTGTAACCGCACAACTCCCTATTCCTTCCTATTCATCATAGGGGTAGTAGAATTTCCTGTATGTCCAAGACAGGTGCTAAACTATTCCCGTTAGACGTAATCTCACTTGATTCGGCAAATAAGGCTTCATTTGTCAATCTCTCCCTCTATCCTGATATATTCAGTATGAAAAGTGTCATCTTATCACATTTTATTGCATAGTTGTGTGTAATTACGTGTAGTGAGTGCAATTGCTGAACTATTCTCTAGATCTATTCTCTTGTTAGGATCAACTAATGTAGATTTTGCTGCTACATCTTTGTGCTCCACCAGTCTGACTGACACCGTTCTATCTTGTTCAACTCAGGTATCTCACCTGACAATCATTGCAATCACTGCAATAATTGGACTAATAAATTTTTCTTAAACTAATGCAAGTATTTCAGCCTTTACACAATGTTTCTTATCCAAACGTACTGACTGGCGTTTACCATCACTGTGCTACAGGGAAGGAAAATGATCCTGGCCATGAGCCGGGCCCTGCACACTTTCGTGTTTTGGTGAGCATTCTACCACCGAATCATACACGCAGTATTCATGCAACTGATTATTCTGATGAGCCATCAGTTATTCACCTAAGGTGATCTTTAATTATCCAACACTGTCCAACATGTTTTGTATCAACCCTTTTCAGCTTTTGTTTTTGAAACGCTTTCTCAGTAGGCCGCTAACTTTCATCAACCTCTGCCCTCGCTGCATACTGTAGATCAGATAGCCAGAAAAGAATTAGCAACAAAGATCTCTGCGAACAAACCAACCAAGAACCTATTTTTCCAGAAATGTCTTAAAAACATGAAGATAGATTGGACTTACTCTGCAGAAACTGTTGACTAACCCCTCCCACCAGGCTGTCGAGTGAAACGAAGGGTTGGACATCCAAGCGTGACGTTGAGGAGATCATATGAGGGAGAAATGAAAACTTATAGGCAGTCACACAGCCAACTATAAACAAATACAAAGGTCGGACAGAAATTGAGATGTGCTGCTAATTCCCCATGTTCTACTGCGAACCCAAAGGAATGATAATAACTATGATACCTGATGGTGACTTCAGAGAATACGGTGAAATGGAGGTGTACTGATTAGGGCCTGTGTCCCAATTAGAACTCAAGGGGACAATAAGACTAACATTCATGAGTCTAATTGTATTTTATCTCCAACATAACAAATAACATAGCAAAAACTTTCAGCATCAGCACACCTTACTTTATCAAGCGAGTATTATTTACTGACTTTAAAATATTTTATCTTCATGCTACTTATAAAACTTCAAATAAAACAATACTACACACTATTTTGATGCTATATTTAAACAGTGATGTTGGCGGCACCAGTCACACTAACATGTGATATTCCTAAAAGACCCAAAATAGCACACATAAGTTATAAATAGCTACTCAGTTTACATCTCTCCAGAGTTATTTAGAATTTTTCGAAAACAAAATGTAGAACACTTTTCAAAAATTAGTTTGTATGGATTGTATTTGTTTCAGGTTACACCACGGAGAGATATCAGTTGGAGAACCATTGGAAACCATGGAGTTCTGGACAGCTGTTTCGTCCTAGTTTGGGACTTATCAACAGTACGCACCTTCTGGGTGTAGAACCCATGACCTTCCAGTTATAAAGGGAGCTCGCATACCATTCAGCCACTTGGAGCTGATTCAATAGCCAGTCTATGTATTCTAACTTCTACCGATTCGTGATGTCTTGGCACGACCACCAACCAGTGTCATCAGTGGGAACTCCATCCTCACTGCTTACTTACTGGATGGACTCCACTGGTCACAACTTCTCACTAGAACTCCAAGCAACACCTTTTCCTCTAGCCAGTCACTAGCGAGCATCAGATTAATTTTTCAAGAGTTGGCTTTTTGTTCCGATTTATTTCACTTTAGACCATGGATTAATATAAGGTCAGTGTACTCCCTGGTTTCCAATGGTTCTCTAACTGATACCCCAATCCTAAGTCTAACCTTAAGTAATTCGATTTCCGAATAAAGATTTCGGAGGTTGAATTCCACAGGCTGTGGAACTCTTCAAAGACACTTTTACAAAAAAGGAAGTTTCTGTTTAAAAATGTCTTAATCACAACAGGGATAAATACACGAAAAACAGTCTTCGAAAGTGTTTCATAGATATGGAATTCCACGAAATCGCTAGTTTATTGGCTTTAGACTAAGTATTGCTTCAAAGGGAAGCTTACACATATTACTCTATGGCATAACTGCATATGCATACGCGCACAGCAAGCTGATTTTCTCACATATAACTTTTTAGTGGTCCAGTTGTTAATATTGTATCTCTGTGTGATTATTCAAATAAAGTTGTCTAATATGGAATTACATTATACCACAGTGCTAAAGTGCTACATTTACACCAAGTGTAGAGGACTTGGAAGCCATTCAGGGATTTGAGGTTCGTTTGATGCTACACGAATTCCCCAGCTTCATTTGGCTTACTGGCTTGTAAGAAGTCTGGAAAAGAGGAAAGCCTCAGCGTGAGGTTGGCAATCCTTCTCCATCAGAACACAATATAGCACTACACCTTTTAGTCAAACTCATGATTTGCAATTTTAACAGTTTGAGTGATGAAATTTAACCGTAGTTTCCTTTGGTAACCAATCCGGTGACAATGCATGTGAGCTGCTTAATATCATAAGTGAGAATCAGGAAAGCAAGCAAACATGCACACAACTATGTACTACTGATTAACTGGGATCAGTAGTTGCATAACACTGGTGTCAACCAACAGTGTTTGCTAGCCAAATCGAGGTCATCTACTCAGTGGATGGCTGTTTCCCTCCTTTCAATTGATTCGCTTCTCTGAGTTAAGTAAAATCGGGTACACCGATGACGAGACCGCCCAAACGAATGAAACAGCTCTCCAGTGTCTAGGTCACCTCAATCTGGTTAGCAAGCACTGCTAGTTGATGTTAGTGGTATGCAAGTATTATTATTGTTGTTTCCTTTAGTTCCTAGAGGAACGTAGAGCTTCAGCCACACGTCTCCGTTGCGTTCGGTTCACTGTCAGTATTTTCACCTGGTTCTATGTCTGCCGCCCACATGCTTTCACCTCCTCTTCACATCACCTCCTCCAAATCACCCTTAGACGACCAACTCGACGCATGCCATTTGGGTTCCACTAGATCGATGGTCTGAAGTGTGATATCACTCACTTGATGGTTTATTTTCTCAGAGTATGGCCAATCTACTTCCATTTCTTCCTTCATATTTGTTGCACAATCGCTTCCTTCTGGGTTGGTTTGCTCCCAGAGGTCCCTGTTGCTCATCCTTTCAGGCCATCTGATCTTCAGCGAAGTTTTGAGCGAAGCCAGCTGTTGATGAAGGTGTGTAGTTTGTTGAGCCAAGTCTCTGATACATAAAGTAGCACTGATTTCATATTGGTATGCAACTACTCACACCGATTAATCAGTAGTACACAGTTTCCTAACACCAAAGCCCCTGAGACTTCAAAACCTTGAAGCCTTGTCTTCGACAATGAAAAGGGAAACCTGACAGGACAACATGCATTTATTTTAATAGCGTACTTGCATGTTTATATATATATATATATATATATAAGCCCTGAAAATGTAATAAATAACTAATTTCTGTGTACAGCTTGAATATTATGGTGCTGTGCATTTCCATTGTTCATTGTATAGTTTACACAATAACAACCTTATAAACAGCATATTGA